AAGTAGTAGTTAACTAATAGTTATACTCACCTATAGACTACTACACTAACTACACACCCCCCCCCATAAGAGTTACCACACTTACCTACACACCCCCCCCCCCCATAAGAGTTTCCAACACCTAACCTACACACCCCCCCTCCCCCCGCCAATAGGGTTTGGATTTGCACCTTACTTTGATTGTTTTAGGTGGGTGCCTAATATAAACTGCCCCCAAACTTAAAAATTCAGTCATTACTTGGTCTAAGATGAGCCAGGGAATATGATCCCTTGCGCTTTTCACCACTGAAATGTTGGACCCTTTCTTATAGAGCCATCAAATAGTCTAGATTCTTATTTTTTGTCAATTATTTTTGTTTAGTTGAAAATAACTTTGAATTGCTATTACTATGTGAGACATCTAGTGCATGTTATATCAAATGCATGATGGCAGAAACCTTACTGTTTGGAACTGTAAACCAGGGCTGGGACTACCCCGATCATTGAGTGGCGTCCGGACCCAATGCTGACCAGGGCCTAGGTCCCTTTGAGCTGGTCTAGGGCCTGGACTCTAACTCTGGTGGCTGGACTTGCTGGGTCCACTGCGCATATATGTATATAACATTGTCGGGTCAAGCTAGACCCACTGAGGGCCAAACGGGATTGGTCCGCTAACCGGGAGTACATTTATAAAGCTCCAAACCAATTTTCCTTTTTCTTTTTTTTGTTTTTTTTTTTGGAGATGACCTTTTAGTGGAGTAGAACGATCTTAGGTCTTTTATAACTCCATTACCCAATCAAACGTGATAGATTTGGAGGGCCATTTACTATAGTATTGACCCTTTGGACTATAGAATCTTTTCTCAAATGAAAAGAATTTCCTCTAGTTATTTGAATACTTTTTCTTTATACAAATAAAATAGTTAATTTTTTATACACCTTTTGTCATTTTCAGTATGACGCTGAAGTGGCCCTCACATTATTTACACAATTGATATGGATGTAACAACTGCTCAAATGATAAGCTTGGGATTCAATGCAAGAAACCTAAATTGGCTCACTTCAAGGTACTCGAAAGAGAACACTTACCATATTTGGGATTACTTCATGGTGTGTTTGTTTGGTGGAAGTTTCGGCTATAGAATCAAATCTTTTGAAAATTTTGGCTTCATGGGGATACGATGGCAATGAACCCGACCCAATCCGGAACCCGACGGGTAGACCCGACCTTGGGTCCTTCGTATGAGTCCAATTTTTGGACCCGACAGGTCAGGTCCAGGTTCAAAACCTGAACCCGAACGCTATTCAGGTCTGGGTCTGAGTCCAGCCATAACGGACCTGTACCCATAAACCGTTTGAGATAAAATATTTTACTTCTAGCCCCTATTCGTTGAGTGTATTAAGGATCATATACAATAAAAACTTATAGCCATTTTTAGCTATTAAACAATAAATTAGATGTCTTGAAATCTAATGGTGGGTGATTGTGACCTTGTTGCCAATAATATGGGTATATGATGGAAAAAAAGAAGCAAAACACAAAAAAAAAAAGCAGCTCATAGTCATATGGTAGCAATGAACTTGACCAGACCCGATACCGGACGGGTTTGGATATAGATCCAATTTCTGGACTCGACAGGTCGAGTTTGGGTCCAGTCGGACCCGACCCGTTGCCACCCTTACATCGGAGGTATGAAAGTAGTAGCTTCCATTTTCGGAGTTTCCATGGAAGGGGAAAAAATGGAAGCCACCCCTTCCATAGCCCCCCCTACAAGCGAAACTTTTAAGAGGCATGGCTTTCAAAGCCCAGACGTCTGTTAAACAAACACACCCTTAAATATTAGTTTAGAATTTCCCAACGGGAATCTTTTTGCTTGGATATAAGCGGTTTTGTCTTACATCAAACTAGATTTACGTAATAAAGAAAAGGAAATGAAGCCCTTGCAGAGTTCATATTTTAACTGATTTGATTTTGCCTAAGTAGTTTGGTTCATGCACCTTGTGATGAAAGTTCTAATCTTAAAATGTGGCATGTAATATTTTTTTGAGGCCAAAAACTTGTAATAAAAGTGGTAATATTAAAATGTGGCATGCATTATACTTTTTGAGACCAAAGAAGTGTAGGATTTTGTAACATAATGAACAATTGAGTGTGAAATTGTAGGAGCAATATTCTAATAATTATCCATGTATCAAGGTTTCTCATTTCATTTCGAAATGACTTCTTAAGGATTTATCCCCAAAAAAAAAAGTAAGGACCTAGGATTTACTCTATTCGGTTAGAAATCTCCTACTCTTTCCTCTCTTTTTTTTATTTTTTAGAATAAAAAGTATGTGTCTGGTGCGACACGCCCTGTGTCGCGCATCACAGCGCGACCGCCACGTGTTGCACTTCAGTGACGCACCTGGGCCTTTATTTGAGTAGATTTCATTGTAGGTTCCCAACCAGCTCTCTGCACTAGTATTTCAGTCTTTTTATGCTCCTTTGTAATTTCATTCATTCTTAGATCTTAGAGCATCTATAGCTTTTTCAACCTTTATTTGAGCACATGATGAAATCCTCCATACGTTTGGAATGAAAATGCAACCATCTCCAATCCTTGATGACAAAATTTCAACAATTCCTCGCAATCACCACCATAGATCATTGACAAAATCTCAACAATTCCTCGCAATCACACCCCCCCCATATGTAGAAATGCGGGCTTCTTAGTAAATATATTTTTAAGATGGATTTTTGGAGTTAATTTTTTTGGACATGTAATCTCTAACATGGAGATCATGGATATGAAAGATAAATAAATTTTAAAAATTAAGAATAATAATTCTATTAAAAAAACATTTGAACAGTTAGTTTCCATTGGTTTTAGATGCAACACCTACTTGCATCCATCTTTAAGATTGGAATCTTTAAACTTTCTAGACCGCATATGTAGAAATGCAGTTCAGCTCACATGAAACAATTTTCCTATATCATTTTTTTTTCCAACTTACATTATTTGCCGTTATTCATTTTTCTTTCCTTTTTGGATGACCCTATCATTTAAGGGTGCAGTTGGCATACAGATGCATCCGTAGGTGTTGAGGTACGGTGCACCTTCAAAATTTATCATGATATATAATTTTGATGTAAAATGTTTTTAGGATTATCTCAAAATCTATTTTTATATCTAATTATAAAATTTTAAATTTAAAAAATGGTTAAAATCAAGTAGTAAATATATGAAAATCTTGAAAATGGACGGTGTAGATAATATGTTGTAAAATGCACTATTTCTGAGACTTAAAATCTTTTTATTTTTCATTGTCATACATCTCGATGTCGAGAAGATCAATCAAAGGGTTTTTCAACATTAAAACTACCTTTTCCGATAGATTTTTTAGGGGCATCCGTAGTTCTATATTATAAGATAGGATCTTTATATAAACTTTTTTCATCATTAAAACCCTAGAAACGCTACCTCTCTCTCGCACACAAATACACAGACAACTACATACAGACACACGCATATCTTGTGAACCTCAATAAGTAGTGGAAACTATGGGTTTTTCAAGGGCCTGAAGGTTTATTTAAGATTATACTTATGGGTCGTTTGGGACATGTATACAAATGTACTGGATTTATGGACGAAGGGTATAGCCTTCTTTCCAATATTAAATATAGGAAAGTGTTATATGCATTGGGGGAAAGCATTCCTAGACTTGCCTTCCCCGAGGGAGAAACCATCCATTTAAAGATGGATGTAAATGATGATCCCTCACAAAAAAAGGTAACATCAATTGTTTAAATATTTCCTTCAAAAACTATCTTTTTAGTTTTTAAAATTTATTTATGTCTACACATTGATGATCTCCATGTTAAGGATTGAATGTTTCTTAAAAATTAAGGTCAAAATCTATTAAAAAATAAGATTATTAATGGGGAGGCATTTCTACGAATGAACTGATTTTGTAGTGCTCCTATCACAATGCAATCCATAAAGACTTGTCAAGCAGTAACACTTGGCACACATATTAAGAACCTCTCTTGAAGCCAACACTCACCTGGCTCATGAAGTGTAGATGTAAATAGTGCTCTAATAACTCTTAACAATTAAAAAAGTGGTACAATTATGCTACAAATCGTAAACATCAGGTGGTAAATATGGACCATCGTTCTAAAATCATCACCAACGTAGATTTAGACCCAAAAATTTTACAAGTCTATGATCTTGACAATAATGATCTAAAAACATGGTTTTTTTTTTTTTGGAAGCTGATTTTTATATTTATTGAATTATTCATTTTATATTTTAAAATATTATCAAAATTACACTATTTTCAGAGCTCCGAATCAATAAAACTTTTTAGAAAATGTTTATTTTATATTTTCTAGATTGTTTCTTTTAATTCTTTAAAGACTCTGATTCGCCCTATTTCTAAAGCTCCAAGTTCATGCATATAAGGTGAAGACAGAGTTGCAGAGATATACACCTCAAATCATACAGCCCTATATTATGTATTTTCCAAGTCTCTTATTGTTTTGAGTTTGGCCCTCTTACCACAAAGTGGATGGATTTCTTTTGTAATGAAAATGACCCGTTTTTCCCCATTTCATAAGAAAGGATAAAAGTTGTGGTACGATTTGTATAAGGTTGCAATTTTATTTGTGGAAATAAGGTTGTGATACTCAACACCGTTCATTTTTATTTGGACGATGTAGATTTGATATATCTTTTAAAACGATATCAATACATAACATATCTTTTGAGATAATATATAATCTACATCGTTAAATAGAGTAAGAGTAATGATCGTATGAGACCCTCCCACACCCATGTGTATAGGACCCCAAAAGATCAATATTAAATTTGACATAGATCTCTAAAAAAGTTATTATGTGAATGTGGGACTTGACTCTTTTAGAGATATGTATCAAATTTAATGGTAATCTTTTAAGATTTTACACACAAGGGTATGGAAAAGTTTCATAGGATCATTACTCATAAAATAAACAAAATATGTAAACTTTTGTCTCAAATTTTTTTTTTTGCCTTCTCTTTTAGCCTTCTCTATCTTTTTTTTGATCCGTCTTCTTTCTCTACCCTCTCCTTCTCCAAGCTCTTTGCTCTCTTTTCTCGTCACATAAAAAGTTAAAAACCAAGTTAATTTAATACTACGGAGGTTGAAAATCTTTTTGGTTCAAGCTTTATGTTCTCTCAACCCTCTCTTTTTCCAATTATTTAGAGCCTCGGCTTTATACAAACGGTACCCTTACTAACAACACATAATCTTTCTATGAGAGAAAGTACAAGACTAATAAAAAAAACCATTTTCAACCTTAAGATAGTTATGACGAGTTTATGAAATTAACTTGCTTGTTAATTCTTTTTTGATGCGACTAGAGAAGAGAACAAAGGGCTTGGAGAAGGAGATGGAAGAAAAGGGTGCGGTTTGTATAGAGTCGAGGCCCTAAACAATAAAAAAAAAACACACGTTGAAATAGTATCGAGAAATGTGGTTTCAATAATAAAAATCTTAGTGATAATCTTAAAATATATTTTTATCTTTAATTATAAAATTTAAAGATTTTATAAAACAGTACAGTTCAAGCTGATTTATAAAAACTTAAAAATCTTAAAAATTGAGAACTCATCGAAAGTCGTAACTGAAACATTGAAAAACCTTTTACATCGATCATCTCAACTTGAATATTACTGCTTGAATATCTATTCTCTTTTCATATTAATACACCACCGGTTCAAGACTCAATTATAATGTTTTCCAGCATAAAGCCAATCTTTTCAACCAAGTGCTACTACTTCTGTAATATCAAGGAGACTTAACATAATCTTTTTTATTTCTTTTTAATATTTGAGAAGTGAGATAGAAGGGTACGTGGCCATGTCATTATAATCCTATTACCTCTTACGGTATAATATAATCCAATTTATTAAGCTTAATTATTTCAGTAATCACAGAATAAATCACCAATTAAGTGGGTCTTAAACAAATAAATCTCTCGCTAAGACTGTCTGATTACTCTGATCTCAGGCGTAACACTCCAATCCTTCTCCCCCCATTGTTCCCACGTTTTCCTCTCCTTTGGTGGTTCGTCTCATCACCATATAAAATTATATGAACCTTTTCTCTTTCTTTTTCTTCCTTTCTCTCTCTACTTTTTTTCAGCCACTCATCATGCTCTGCATCTTCGACCATAAATCCTCTTTTGGCTCTACTTTTCTCTCTCTTGTGGGTCCTCTGCGTGCTCTCTCTCTCCTTCATTTGACCTGTTTCTCATTCATGGCCTTCATTTTCTCCACGCCTTAATATTCCAGAATTTGGTATATAAACCCAACTAACGTGCACTGTCACTCTCTAATTTCTGGGTTTTCTCACCTCAATGGCGTCAGTAAGGGGTGGTTTCTCTCTTTTCGAAAAGATCGATAATGGCACCATTAATGGGAGTTGCAGGGCTAGGTCCCCTTTTGAGATCTCGGGTTATAGAAAATATGTGGGGGTTTCAAGCAATTTGAGGTTTGTGAGAGATGGGTTTTGTAGAGAGAGAAGTAAGAAGGGGAGAGGGAGTTTGGTAGCAAAGGCAGCTGGAAAAGACCTCAACAATGAGGAAGGAGATGTTACAGAGGATGCTCTTAATGCCACACTTGAGAAGAGCAAGAAGGTCTTGGCTATGCAGAAGGACCTTCTACAACAGGTGTTTACTATTTTCTCTCTCTGTCCAACTTTGATTAAATCTCAATCTCTCTCTCTCTCTCTCATGGGGAAAATATTCCTATTACCCATACTGGGTGTCATTTGTTGTTGTTGTACTTATGAATATGATCATAAAGCTGCTTATTTTTCAATGAAACATAAGAAAAATTGCTTTAAATAGTTGTAATGATACATCTTTTGCGGTTGGGGTTTACTGGTTATAATAGTTCCCGTGTTTTACATTATGGGGCTTGTTATGCTAGTGAGGCATTTGTCATGTTACTTGTTCTAGGCTTGAATTCCTTGTCTCCTCCATCTGGTACTAACTCAACTCTCTCCAAGAAGAAGTTCTGCATGTGTGATAATGGAGAGGAACACTTGTTTGTGCCAACCTTATTATTTCTATTCAGAGGTCTGGAATTAGAGTTGATTTTCCTTTTAGTCATGGACTTGGTTTGTTTGGTTCTGGTTGGTTCGTTCTCATAATAAAGGACTAAAAACTATTGTCTCTGTAAATTGAAGATGGTCATGCTAGCTTGAAGGATTTGTGTTCAAAAAATTGCTTTTGCATTTTCAAATTCTTCAAATACTACCGGAAAACTTCAGTAACAAATTGATTCATAGAATCTGAGTTTCGAGAACTGGATCATGTTTTTGGTTGAGGTTCATTGATACAACTCATAATATCTAGCAGTCTTTGGTGGGCAGTGATGACCTGAAGGAGCATATTTTCTTATCTTCATGAAAAAAGGTTGCCTTCTTATCTTCATGAGACCGAAAGCCCCTGTTTTATCAATTCATATGATTTTCTTCAATTATTACACAATCCTCTTCTTGTTGATGTAATGACCCATTAGGTGCATTCTGTGGATCTCTGTAGTCCCATGCTTCTTTTGATAAATCTCCTAGTCTCTCCTGTATCTGCCAAATAATTCACTTCTCGATGATTGAGTCTGCTGTTTCCCACATAAGGGAATATCTTCACTTCCATTTGCTTGGGAACTATGAGTTCTTTTGGACTATAACCACCTTTGGCATGATGATCGAGATAGGATACATGGATGATAGAATTTTGACATAGGGTCATATTAAATTAGGCATCGCTCGTGAAGCACTAGTGGTAAATACCAAAGGAGTCATGGGTAGCTGGAAAAAGGGTATGGATCTCTTTGCAAGCTTGCATCCTTCTAGGCCTTCGAATTTTGATAATAATCGATCTTGTGTAGATTAAGACATATTGATGCGTCTTAAAAAAAAAAAAAAAAAAAAACAAAGAAAACCATGAGTTGTCTCCCGTGGACCTCATTGGATGATTGAATTTGTGAAAAAACTGAATGATAGATGATTGGGCTAATATGCATCATTTCCTAACAAAGTGATCAATTAAAAAAGGAATTCCTTTATATGAACGGTTATGTTATTGTGGCTAGTCCCAGGTGATTGCAACCAACATGATCACTACTTTTGATATTTGGTTATTTAGTGGTCCCATCTAATGTTTACTAAATGAATACATTTGGAAAAATTTAAGTGCGACACCGATAGGCGATAAGATGAGAGAGAGTAGACTTAGGTGGGCTGGTCATGTATGGCGCAGACCCAGTACAACACTTGTTAGGAGGTGCGAGTTAGTTCAATTGGAAGGCTTAAAAAGGGCAAGGGGTAGGTCCAAAAGGACATGGTTGAAAATAGTGAGAACGATATTGGGACTTATAGCTTCACTGTGGGTATGACCCTTAATAGAGCAGAATGACAGGCCAGGATTCGTGTAGTCGACCTCAATTAGTTGGGAAAAGGTTTTGACGATGATGATGATCTAATGTCTACTAAAATGCTTTTCTGTTCGACTATGCTAAACATTGAATATATGGACATTCAAATATTTGATTTGCCTGAAGTTACTAAGGAACTCAAAAATTTGTACGTAAAAATGTTGGATGATATCTGTGAGGCTTACCTATTCTCTCAAACTCTCTTAAAAGATATGCAAGAAATTACACAACATCTTTTAGTATCAATAACCTTTATTTTTTGTTCAGCCTCTATTGCAAAATTAAGTTTGTCATATCCCATGAAGAACCGATGATTAAAAAAGGAAGCTTCAGGAAGGCAATAATACCACAAGTGCTAGGATCCTAGAAGTTTTCAATGTGATTTGTCTGTCATGAGTCGTGCAGATCCATTGGATCTGTCAACATGTAGGGAATCTGACATGTGAACACCCTACACAACATTGTCTGCATGCACATAAACATGGAGAATCCATGTCGACATGTGTGTCTGGAAATTCTATTTTTTTTGGATTTGTATACTCAGGGTTTCTGCTATGTGGATACAGTCGCATAGTTTGGACAAACAAGACAATCATGTTTGTTTTGTAAGATATGTGTGTCTGTATTGTAAGATGCGTTTGCATTTTGCATAACATGCATGTCTTTTATTATTAAAAAGTCACAATTTATTATATATAAATCATTCTCAAAATATAATAAATGTATGTGGATACATATGTTGTCTGCGGAAGCTCTAAACTCGATGGGTTGATTTTTGGCAAATAAAGTAGGAGAAATAAAACATGAAACACATACCACAAGAACACAAAGATTTACGTGGTTCACCCCAAGAAGGGCTACATCCACAGGCACGGAAAACTGAAATCTACTATACCAATGAAAGTTCCATTATTGATTTTGGGACATAGAGTTACCTCTTTAATCCTCAGCAAAACACAATTGAGCAAACCTTTTTAAACTACCCTTCCTTCCTTCTCTTTACTTTTGGCAACCATTACCGACAACACTAGATAGAGACGCGAGAGCAATGAGAAACTGACTCTCTCTAACTAAAAGGGGAAACCACCCAAAATCTTCATGGGAACCACTTCTCTACAAAAAACAAGCCTCTCAATCTTCAGAGTCTATAAGAGGTACGATCACAATGTTTCTCTGCATAGAAAGTTCCCTTCTCTCTAAGAGGAAACCTTGCATCTTATGTACAGGGGGCCCTGCCCCCCCCTCTCTATAGAGGAAGCTACTACCATTCCCACATGGTGATCCAAATAGGGCACACAAATTCTCTGCACTTTCATCCCATATATATAAGGTTAGGAATCCATACTAAATAGGAAACTTCTTATTGATGTTACATATATCTCAAAAGACCAAATAAATAAATATCTAAATCCCACATAATATGGGAATATCTTAATCCCATATAATATGAGATGTCCTTATGCGGGTGATTTTGGATATCACCAAATCCAACAACATATGCCATGCACAGACTTGTATAGACATGTTGTTCTGAACTTGGCAAAACATATATAGGTGAATCTGGATTCTTCGAATCTGAGTTGGACAGATATTATTGTTTCCTTGTAATATAGCTGCCCTCGAGGTTGTCCTTATTGCATAGATGGCCCACTTAACGAGGGGCCTGAAGTATTTGAGGTTTGTCAACCTAGTTAGATATTTGAATTTTACTGGTTCTTATTTTTCAAAAAACTTAAAATTGTTCTGGAAAACATGCAATGCATTTCTGGTACTGGTTTCTACCACCATCTTATCATCACCATGCATTATTTTGGTGAAGGGTGCTGACCCAGTAGGCTTGGGTTTCCTATGGTCCTTCGGACTCTATTATGCTTTCCTATATATGTAATAGTGTATACTATGTCTATTGTACACTATATCTGTTGTACATAGGATGTGTGGACATTGCAATGCGTATCATTATAAATTTCTTGGCATTTATTCATTTATTTAATGTTGAAAACTTACTGGTGGTCAAATCCTAAACATTCTCCTGAATGTGTGGAAGTTTCTGAAGTCATTGTTTAGTGACTTTTTGAAAGTATGATGAGTCCTTTAGTATCTAGCAAAGGTCATCTGATCATCTTGGATTTTTTTCTTGTGTCATTTGATGCTTACAATGTATGGCTCTACATGATAGTGTTAATGCTCTGTATTGTGCTTTTCTCTTGGATAAATTAAACATGTTCTGTTTACAGATTGCAGAAAGAAAGAAAATTGTTTCTTCTATAAAAAAGAACATTGGTAGTCCAGAGTCAGAGGTTAGTGCTTCTACTGGAAGTGATATGTCCAAAGATTCAGATGGGGCTTCAACTGCTGGGGACAGCGATACCAAATATGATAGAAGTGGGAGGTTTTTTAATGATTTTGTTCAATCTACTAAAACTGAAGTTTCAAAAATCTCATCATTTATTGCAACTGAGGGTACTAAAAAGGAACGTGTAGAAGGTGTGTCTCATCAAAGGTCAAAACAGGATGAGGAAATTAAGGAAACATCCCCAGGGACTGGTGATAAATCTGTCCAATCTAAGGTAGTGCCTCAGGTGTTACCTCAAGCCTCTAAACCCTATGGCTTGGTGAAAGAAGAGCTTAAAGAGATGCAAACAGTAAAATCCGATGTGGTGGAGGAAGCAGAGAGCAAACCAGAGCCTGAGGAAAAAGATTCCAAGCCCCCCCCATTGGCAGGAGCAAATGTCATGAATGTCATTGTGGTAGCTGCAGAATGTGCTCCTTGGGTGAAAACAGGTAGAAAACATTATTATATGATGAGGTTAATTAATTCCTTTAGATTCTCATGCTCTCCCATGTGCTTAATATGAAAAAATTCTATCCTCAATGGAATAACTATAGTCCAAGTCCATTGTGAGTGATGCGGGTGATGGAGAAAGAGTGGGACAGGACATGAACACATGGTAGTTTCTGATCTTTTTCCATTATAGTCCATCATTTGGATAGACATTGATCACCCAATGGACTATGGCTTTCCACTAGCCTATTGAACTACATAGTATACTTTTGTTCAATAATTTTTTTTGAAGTTGTTAACTGTTACTTTTGTTCAATATTTGATTCCTCTGTCACAAATTCTTGCTCATGCTCCTTTCAGATTTGCTTGTTCTGTGCATTAGAGTATTGGACGAAACTTACCCTATTTTATGACCATTTCGTTAATATAACTGTTCCCTTCAGGTGGACTGGGAGATGTAGCTTCCGCTCTACCAAGGGCTTTGGCAAGGCGTGGGCATAGAGTCATGGTATGCGTTTCTTATGAAACAAAGGAGTGTGTGCTGTAGTGATTTAAAGAAGTTACTTTCGGACCATGCTTCTTCCAGTCATGCTGCATTGCTCTTTTTTTTGCCATTCAAGAAGAGGTATACTCTTTCTAGTGGGAAATGGAAAACCAACTGCCCAATGGGCCATCATTGTCCATTGAAATAATTCTCAGTGATTATTTTATTCTTTTTTTTGGTTGACCCGGGGAAGGGGGGGTGATCCCAACTGCGGTCCCACTCTCTCTATCAACATTATCATTTCGTTAGACAGTGATGGTTAGGGTATCTTTGTCAATTCTCTGCATATTTTAGCTTTGGTTATGTCTAGTGATGTCAATTCGATGCATATTCTATCAATGGATCGTATTTGGCTTTCTATTCGTTGCTGAAATTGTTTAGAATTTAGTTATCTCATTCTCACATTGTAAGAATTTGGTGCTTCTATTTTTCCCTTTTGTTGGTGATACATAGGGAACTATATTCTTATTGATAGGTTGTGGTCCCACATTATGGTGATTACCCTGAAGCACAGCCTACAGGAATATATAAGTGGTACAATGTAGCTGGGCAGGTTAGTGAAACCTTCTAACATGAGGCTGAGATTTACTTTCTTCCTTTACATATTTTGTAGCTTTATCATTTCAATGTTCCAATATAAAACATTTCATCATGCAGGACATGGAAGTATCTTATTTCCAAGGATATATAGATGGCGTGGATTTTGTTTTTATTGACAATTATATCTTTAGGGACCTGCCAAATAACAACATATATGGGGGTGATCGTTTGGTAAGATACTGTTCAGCTACCACCTGTGTGTATTTTTGGCATGGGAGAGCTTGTTATACATAGATATGGGGATTTATGGCCTCAATGAGGGTAATGCCCTTGATAGAGTTGAATGGTTATATATATATATATATATGAAAATGTTAAGATTAGCCCACTAGCTCATATGAACATATGAGCCAAACGGCCTAGATTCCGATCTGACAGTCACGATCTCATTTTGTATTTGAATTTTTTTTTTTTTTTATACAAATCTAAATAACTTGAAATTTTAGGTATCCATTCTTCTCATCAAGGTGCGCCTAATAAAAATATTTAAAAAATAATTCACAAAAAATAAATTGACCAAAATACCCCCGAAACATTTCAGGGGTATTTTGGTCAATTTGTTTCTTGCAAATTATGTTTTTGATATTTTTATTGGATTATCTTATATTTGAAGAATACACGTCTAAAATTTCAAGTTATTTGAATATGTAGAAAAAAACTTAAAATTCATATACGAAAGGAGGTCGTGACCGTCAGATCTGGGCCGTTCGGTTCATATGTTCATATGAACTAGTGGGCTAATCTCAGCATTTTCCATATATATATATAGAGCAATGATTTGATGCAACCGTTGTATAGTAATATTATGCAACAACCTTAAAAAATCATCTTATGGCCATTTATTTGATTCAAATTTTGAAATATACACTTTTTTCATTCTAATGAACAATCACAAAAAAAGAAAAAATTGAAAACACAACCTAGAAAGTATTTTTTTAGCTCAATTAACATAGGCCATTCATTTTGATGAGATGCTTAGATCTAGGCCTTAGAAGGATTTTTACACTTTCATTTTCTTTGGATGGCTTTATTAACATTATATGAACAATGTTAGAAAAGAAAAAAATGATTTTGAGTTTATAAAGGCTAAGCTCTTGAAATTAACAAAATGAACCGTCTAGATTCGTTTTTGGAGGGGACTCATTTTGACCATATCTAGAGTTCAAATTGAACTTTTGTTTTTTGGGGGATTGATTATTGAGATTAAGAGAGTGTGTTTGCAAAATTTGAGGTCATACAAATACCATCAACATGGTTTTCTAGAAGTGTCATTGCATTATACTATGATACAACCGTTGCATTGGATCATTGCTCATATATATATATATATATATATATATATGGAAGATGTTAGGGTGAGTCCACTAGCTCATGGAATAGTATAAGTCCAATGGCTCAGATTAAATCTGGGCCGATTTGACAGTCAGGACTGTATATCGGTAATATAATTTTAATATTTTTTATATAAATCTAAATAGCATGAAATTTGGAGCATAAACTCTTCTCATCAAGGCACACCTAATAAAAATATTTAAAAAATAATTCACATAAAATAAATTGACCAAAATACCTCCATAACTTTTCAGGGGTATTTTGGTCAATTTAATTTATGCGAAATATTTTTTTGATATTTTTATTAGATTCTAATAGTCTTGAAGAATAGACGCTCCAAATTTCAAGTAATTTGATTTGTATAAAAAAAATAAAAATACAATTACGAAATACAATTGTGATCATTGGATCGGTCCAGATTCAATCTGGGCCATTGGGCTTACACTGTTCTATGAGTCCATGGGCTGACAGAAGCTGTTTCCTATATATATATAGGAAAAGAAAAACTAAAAAATGGATTTTTGAGGAGAGAGGAAATACAATTAACTTTAGCTTTCCATTATAATGTAGTATTACATCCAGGCCTGGAGATGAGGTCCAAATCAATACTTCTTTTTTTGAATTGGTCTATCTGGTGGTGTTTTTAGTACCATCCCCAAAGTTTGAGGTCAAACAAATCACATTAAGATGGTCTTTTTTAGGGTGGTGAAGTGTTGGCGGAATCCATATTATAGGTCATGTTTGAGGTGCTAATGAAGTTATCTCCTTACTAATGCCAATATTCTATACTAAGATCAACATTTTATTTGTTGCAGGAAGTCTTGAAACGCATGGTTTTGTTTTGCAAAGCTGCTATCGAGGTATGGTGGTAAATTGTTGTTGGGATAGTGGTATCAGAAATCTACATGCCAATAGGAAATTATTGTCATGTTCCAAAGTGCCGGTTTCAGCAAAACTAGGAAAATTTGTTTTTTGTTTCTGTCTTAGATTTATTACTGATTGTAATTTTATGCGTAACTTTGGTTACATTGCACAACATGAGCATGTGATCTCTGCAATTGGCGTTACAAATTTGTAGCAAGAGGCATTGGTTGTTTAGATTTCATTTCATTATCTTTTAATATATTCAGGAAGGTAGGCAACTAGGGTAACTTGTTAAGTTGGATAGTCCATGGTGTTTGGATATCTCTCATTCCTCTGTCTAGAGCTAAAGTAGGTGGCTTGGTGGGTTTCAGGTTCCTTGGCATGTGCCATGCGGTGGTGTCTGTTATGGAGATGGGAATCTGGTGTTCATTGCAAATGACTGGCACACAGCTCTGTTGCCAGTTTATCTTAAAGCATACTATCGTGACAATGGGTTGATGAGTTATACTAGATCGGTTCTCGTGATCCACAATGTGGCACATCAGGTGTCCTCTTTGAGCTTCAAGTCTTTTACTTGTTTCGACTTGTATTTGATGGTTTTACTTATGTTTGATAACAAGGATGAGGTAATTGTGTATCTTGCATGCATTACCTATGTGTTGAACTCTTCTTATACAGGGTTAGTTTGGCCATTTCTTCTCTGTTTCACTTGTCATGTAGTTCTTTTGGGTTTATTGAGTTCTCATTCAGATGCTAATCCATAACTCTGTCTACTCAGGGTCGGGGCTCAGTTGATGATTTTCACTTGGTGGGCTTGCCGGACCACTATGTTGATCTCTTCAAACTCTATGATCCAGTTGGTGGGGAGCATTTCAACATCTTCACCGCTGGTCTAAAGACTGCCGATCGAATCGTAACTGTCAGCCATGGATATGCATGGGAAGTGAAAACCCAAGAGGGAGGTTGGGGTCTGCATAACATAATAAATGAAAATGATTGGAAACTTAGAGGGATAGTCAATGGAATTGACACAAAGGAGTGGAGCCCCGAATTAGACATTCATTTCAAATCTGATGGCTACACCAACTACTCTCTAAACACTCTAACTACAGGTAAGCCCCAATGTAAGGCAGCTTTACAAAGAGAATTGGGTTTACCTGTTAGAAAAGATGTCCCTTTAATTGGGTTTATAGGGAGACTCGACCACCAAAAGGGCGTCGACCTTATTGCTGAAGCCATGCCTTGGATGGTGAGTCAAGACCTCCAATTGGTGATGTTGGGAACTGGAAGAGCAGACTTAGAGAACATGTTGAGGCAATTCGAGGGCCAATACCGAGACAAGGTTCGAGGTTGGGTTGGATTTTCAGTTAAAACGGCTCATAGGATAACTGCTGGTGCTGATGTCATATTGATGCCTTCGAGATTTGAGCCATGTGGGTTGAATCAGTTGTATGCTATGAGGTATGGGACTATACCGGTAGTCCATGCAGTAGGTGGGTTGAGAGATACTGTTCAGCCTTTTGATCCTTTCAATGAGAGGGGCCTTGGGTGGACTTTTGATAGCGCAGATTCGGGTCGATTGATACATGCTTTGGGCAATTGCTTATGGACTTACAGGGATTATAAGAAAAGCTGGGAAGGTATTCAAAGGCGAGGTATGATGCAAGATCTAAGTTGGGACAATGCGGCTCAACAGTATGAGGAAGTATTGGTGGCTGCTAAGTACCAATGGTGATCTTTTTATGAGAGTGAGTATTTCTCTTTTTTGATCTCTTGATGAGAAAATTGAGTGATTTCACTCTATAGATTTTGCTCACTTAATGGGTAGTTGGCTGCAATGGCAACTTTGTTGAGCTTCTTATGTTAGAGAGAAAATTGAGTGATTTCACTCTATAGATTTTACCCACTTCATGTGTAGTTGGCTGCAATGGCAACTTTGCTGAGCTTCTTATGTTAGAGCAGTGTTCTCTGGTGAAATATCTTCAGATAGCTTAGAGATAGCCATGCCCTGTATGCTGGTATATGTGGTTCGACAATTTTCATTTTATTTATTTTATTTTTTATTTTAGTATTTACGAAATGTAAAATAGATCCCTATTCTGATCTCACGGACAATCCGAGCTTTATTGCTAGTTTTGTTGTTCTCTATCGGTCTTAGTTGGCTTCATTGTGCTCATTTTTACAAGTTGCGATTTTAATGGTGCTTGTGGATACATCTACATTTCTCATGTCCTGACATCCCTGACATTCTAGTGTAATGTGGGCATGAATTTGTTAAGCTAAAAACTCTGAATCCGTTGATTGTAGAACCTTCTTCTTGTCTATATATTTCAAAACTACTCAGTGACAAAAATAGAAAAGCCCATTTCAGGGACAGTTTCTGTTTATGGGCATTATAAAATCTGCCAAAGAACGTTTCCTATCTTCTCTATCGTGGTATATATGTATGGGGGGTCACAATGAGATTATTTAGCTTTAGTACAAGGAGGTCACAATTACTTGTAACCATATGATGTGAAAACTAAGAGCTTAGGTGTGTTACAACATTTGAAATTTTTTTTTTTGAATATTGAGTTTGGTCAATAGAATAAATGTAGCCATCCAATTTTACATCTAACGGTCAAGATTAATTGTGACCATTTTGTACAAAAGGTAAATGGTCTCATTGTATACTTTTCCTGTATGTATCAGCGTATGAGTTTCTTCATTCCATTATGCAAGTTCAATAGTTTAGTGTTTGTAATTAATAGCGTGCAAATATACACACCAGTGAGTTGAGAGTGGTAGATCAAGTGCTGAAAATATGTGAGGAACAAATAAATAATTAGTTTTGTCAGATATCTTTGTGCTGTGCAAAGCTTCATGCACCATATGGTTTTTTGTAACTTTTGGAGGATATATTGTCACTGTTATTTATAGTCATGTCAAGATGCTTATATGATCCATATACATAATTTACTGATCCCCCATGATTTATGAGTGATTTCCACTTTAAGGCAATTTTTACATTATCGACAAAATGGTTCCATAGAAATCTTCTTGGAAGAAAAGTTTCTTATACTATAGCTATGTAAAAATATAATCAAGAATATTAGTGAGGATGGGTAATTGTATTGTTTGATTAGGAAACATGACGCTACATAAGTTCACTTTGAACATGGACATGGCGTTTGGGGTGGGTTTAACCCTTGCGGGGGCCATGGCTGTAGATATTGTGAGGATGGCCAAGAGAAACTCCATAACCTTGAAATTCTCGAAACCTTTTTTCCTACTATTAGTTATCTTGCTTGTCTATTGAGATGATTTCACTATTTATAGGAGCAACAAACACACTGATTCTTTGTTTTTCTTTTTCTTCTAACTGATGTAAGCAATAGGACATTTAGCGTTTGAACCTTAGATGTTTGTAACTTAGTATTGCTGCTCTCATAATTGTATATACCATATTTTAAAATGTTGTAATGTTTTAGCAGGTCATTTACTATTATAACACGTTATAAACTTTTAATTTAGATATCTTTTAGGGTGCGGTTTGTATAGTGCCTAGGCTCTAAACAATCAAATTAGAGCCTACTTTCAAATAGTGTTGAGATTTATGCGATTGCATATAGCCTTAAAATATATCGTTATTTTTTATTTATAAAGTTTAAAGCTCCAAAAATAGTGTAGACCAATTCGATAGATCTATAAAAACTTGAAAACCTTGAAAATTGATGGTCCAAACGAGGGGGTTGAGCTACTATCTTCATAATTAATCACCATTTTCCTCAAAATAGGTGAAGTGAGTTTGGACTGTAAATTTTTTTTTTGGTGAAATTGGACAATGAAGTTCTATTGCTCCTACTCACATTTTTCTGCAACAATCTGAGAGCTATGTAAGCATGGTTACAATTATTGCATATTATACAAAGCCTCATTAAGGGCAGGACCCTTGATAGAGAAGAATGACATATTAGGATTGGTGTAGCCAATCCCAAATATTTGGAAAAAGGCTATGAGGGGAAAAGATCCTGTCAGCCCACAGGCTGATAGCTACAGTATCAGCCAATGGTTCAAATTGAATCTGGGCTGATCAGACGGTCACGGCCTCATTTCGTGTTTGAATTTTCATTTTTTTGTACAAATTCAAATCACTTGAAATTTGGAGCGTCTATTTTTCAAAAATAGAAGAATATAATAAAAATATTAAAAAAATATATAATAATAATATACTAACTACTACTAATATAGTAGTAGTAGTAGTAGTACTTATTATTACTTAATTTAATTTATTTATTTATTTAGTTAGTTAGTACGTCGT